CCGGCGCCCGGGGCGGCCGCCAGCACGGAGGAGGCCGAGAGGAGCCCGAGGGCCAGGAGCCGCCAGGGCCGCCTGCAGCGGGGCGCCGGCCGCGCGCAGCCCCGCTCGCCGCCAGCAGCTCCGCTCATGGCGGCGGCCGCCTGCCCTCCCGCTAGGCCCGGCGCCGGCCCATGCCGCTCTCCGCCCCCCGTTCGCCGCGCGGGCGGTCCCGAAGCGCCGCGCCCGGCCCGGCCCGGCCTTGCCCCGGCCCAGCCGCCGCCTCCTTGCGTAGCCACGGAAACCACTTCGCGCCGCCACTTCCGCCCGCCCGGCCGCACCTCCACACTGCGCACGCGCCGCCTCGCTGGGCCAATAGAAGCGCCCCGAGCCCTCCCCCTCTCCAATGCCGTGCGTGCGCGCGCATCACGTGTCCCCGACGCCGCACCTCGCGCGAGTGCGACGTGGACAAAAGGAGGGGCACTCCCCCCCCCGCCGCCCGCACCGCTCCCTGCGGCGGCTCCGCTGGGCGCAAGCGCGGCCGTCGTAGACTACAACTCCCAGCGTGCTCAGCGCGCGGCGGGCGCCCCCTCCGGCGCGGGGGCTCCTGGGGGCTATAGTTCCCGCCCGCTGAGGGGCTGGCGGAGAAGGAGGGGCTGCCGTGGCCTTCTCAGCGCGTCTCCGTTTAACGGGGTGAAGGAACGCGGCGTTTGGCCACCTGAGCGGCACTTTGTGTCCAATTCTTTAAAAATAAAGAAGAAAACAAAAGAARCAAACAACAATCCCAAAACAAACAACAAAAAAGAAACCTGCTGGAGGCCAGCAATGAAAGGAAAGAGCTGGTTTATTGCCTTTACAAGCAGTTGTTACAGAGTTAGGTCAGGACACAGCACAGGGCTGAGCCAGTCTGGAGCCTGAGAAGCAAAACCCTCCAAGCCTCTACCCCAGATCCCTCCCGTGAGGATGGCTCTGCTGTCCCCTCATGTACAAGACACAACTCACCGACGCGAGTGCTCACAGTGGCCTTTTCTTGACAAAAAGAGTTAACTTTCTGCTTTGAACTCAAGGAGGGCCCTAGTCCAAGCTACTCTTGCCTATTCCTCTAGTGTCAAGGCTCTGTTAGTATTATAGACTGTTTGATAGCATTAAATAACAGACTTTACASAGTTAAATGACAACAAATATCAGGACTCTTACTTGGCAGGGCTCTTGCGGTTTCATTATTTCTTTCSCATCTCTTTATGATGGAGTTCTGTAGTCCGCACTTGCTGTATTTATAATTAATCTGAGCTGCCCTGGACTCTACTATATTTATACAGAAAGACTCAGAAACTCTAGGCCAGGTTTCTAAGGTACCTTAAACTGACCTCCAACGTGCATGGCTAGTTTGCCTGCCTAGTTTATTAACACACTATTTTTCACCCCCAAACTTTTCTGTGCACAGACATTACAYTGAGTAGGCAGGTGACGCATACACAACTTTGTGCATAGATTACAATTTGATGTTGTGGACAATAATACACTGGAAATGAAAAGAATCTGCTCCCGAAAYGTGATTCTGCACTCCAAAACCTAACTGAATAAGCTTTACTTAGCTGCTTTCTGCTTAATGAATATCTGTTGTAGAGATTATACACAATGGTTATGATATTTCAGAATTACTGCAATTTACTGTTTATCTTATGCTACCTAAAAGCCATCACCAAGATCTACAAAATTGGGACGATGTAACTGAGATCAGTAAGAACGTGCAAGGCAGGACTCATATTCTGTATTAGCAATAAGTGAATATATTTCATGGTGGGAAGTATGATGGAAAGATGCCACCTGGTTACTACTAACTACTATAGTTATTGTAAACATTCTCATCTTTCCCTTCCATAAAGTAAAAAAAAAACAAAACAGATGTAAAGTGCTCTGGAAGGCTAAATAACCTAGAAGTGCAGAGTGGGACTGAGAAACCTGCTCCCATGTTTTTCCCATTTTAAATATCGCAATAAGAAAAATCAGAACACTTCATTGTCTTTCATATCTGTCAATACTTGAAAATAATTAAGTAATCCGATTCCAGAGTTTGCATACAATGTGGCCTCCAAGCAATCTACCAAATTATCCATTTGATTCCTGTTTAACTAATAAAAACGTCATTTATTTCCCATATACTACATGCAAATACTAAAAGCATCCTTGAGTAACAACTTATATATCAACCACCTAAGAATCATCATGTTGCTGTCRAATTCATGCACTTAAATACCATAATCTAGTCCCTGGCAATGAACCTAAGAACAGTGAAGTTGTTAAAATTAAAAATAGTTTGTAGCTAGGGGGGGCAAGTTGTTTTCAAAGCATTCGGTGGTCACGTTTTCAAACTTTTTTTCTCTAACCATAAAAGGTAGCAAATATTAAATGAAAGATGAGGTTCCCAAATAGTAACCCAATTTTAAGGACTGAGAGCTGTTAGGAAAAAGAAAACAGTTATCTGCCACTTAGGAAGAGATCACAAAACTGCAAGAGATCCCATCCTCTCCTCCAGACCAGACTTAAACAAGTATTCATGATTAAACAAGTATTCGTGGCTTAAACAAGTATTCAGGCTACTGGTGTGAATAAATCCTAGAGGGCCAGACTGAAAAACACTTSTTACTCTTCACAGCTTTGCAGTACAGAACTGTCGTCCCTGTTTTCTTCTGTGAGAATCTCGCTTCCTTCTGTGCTTTTAACTTCAGCGTGTGGAGATGATTCATCTGCTGGCTTCCCTTCACTCTCACCAGACCAAGCATCTCCTGCGACCTGGACAGTGCTAACACTGCCCAGCTCCGGTGCGGAAGGAACTGGCACATCCATCGCTTCTGTTCTTGGGCCTTGTGTTATGTCTGAATATTCAGCCGGATTAGGATAAAAGCTCTCAGTCCCTACCTCCACTGTGGCACTGTCACTATTCCTTGCTCCTCCTTCCTCTACATTTAATGTTTTGTCTTCAGTCACGTTTTCAGCGTGCTCCTCTGGCTGCAATCTACTGCTTTCACAGCTTCCCACGCCTGTGCACGAAACACTTTGGACGTTCTCTGTTTCTGTCTTTACCTCTTGGGATGTACCAGAGATGTCCACCAACCATTCTGCTTGTGCCGTATTGCAGGCTCTCCCTGACATAATCATTAAATTTGTGCTATCCGTCCCTGAACTGGATGGAGATAACTGGTTCCCCGTGAGCTCTGTGCACTCCAYATCTTTATTCATCAGGTGGCTCACTTGACTTTCTGCTGCAGTAACTTGGCTCATCTCATTACACCCATTGTGCTCCTGCAACTTTAATATCTCRCACTCACAAATCTCTTTCATGTTCTCACATGAAGTATCTGCTGGTAATTCAACTGCTACCATCAGCAAACTCCTTATTTCATTCACATCATCAGGAGGTTTAACACTCTCTTCTTCTGAGTTGCCTTCTTGCTTAGTCTTGTCTCCAAGCCCTTCGTTCACTGTGTTTTCACTCTGTAAAGTAACCCTGTCTTCAGTGACTGCTCCTTGGTTCTTGCTTTCTTTTTTACTGTTCTCTCCAAGCCCTACTGCCCTTTCACCCTGAGACAATTCTCCTAGTGTCTCTTCTTCTACCTGAGTTTTCTTATCAACATTCCCTAAAATTTCTGCTTCTACTGCATTATCATGTGGGGAAGTTAATTTTACCTCTGCAACTTCTTCCCGTATTTTGCTTTCTTTTTCTGCATTGCCTACAAACTCTGTTTCCGTTGCCTTTTTACTCCCAGAAGTTACAGTTTGCTCCACTGTACCTTCATGTACCTTATATTCTGTTTCAGTGTTGGCTCCAAAATCTACTTGCACTGTGGTTTCAGTCTCAGAAGTTACTTTTTCCTCCACAGCTTTCTCCTTATCTTCATTCTGGGAAGTTCTTTTTTCCTCTGCAGCTTCTTGTTTCTTAGGAGTATATGGAGGGGAATCCTGTTTTTCACTGATGTCTGTAATGATCACTTTTTCTCTTGTGCTTGCCCGATTATCAGCCACTTTGACAGGAACTACTGTCTCTTTGTCTAGTGACTTGCCATCACCACGATCCTTCTCCCAGGAATTTTTTTCAGTCACAACAAGTGTTTCCTCACTTGGATTTTCAGTATCTGATATTTCGGCTCTGGTGGTGGAAGGCTTCTTAGCAGGAGTGGTTTGAGCTGATCCCGTAGGAGTCTTGAGGTCAGTTAAACTGGACACGCTTTCACAAGGCAAATTCAAGTTATCTTCAAAGAGGTTGTGTTTCTTCAGAACGGCAGCTTCTTTTATTACTGAGTGAAASAGAAAGGACAAAATGTTTTGAGAAGGCTGACAGACAGGTTTAAAGAAGATACACTCTTTTCCTGTGTTCCTAATGTTATGTATTCTAATGTTATAGATCATATTAGTAATAATCTTCCACATTTTTGGTTTACATTTTATTTGTTTTGAARAATGGGACTTCAATATTGAGTTGAGTCTGTCACTGCTGTTAAAAGAAAACTGTCAGACTGTCTACAATGCACGAAGGTACCTTTTAAATGCAAAACTATTTACACCAARTATGTGAATAAAAATGTGTTCATAACATTATACTGAGATTTTGGAAGGGTAGTGCCCCAAAGGGGCTATTAAAACTTCTTGTGGAATACAAGGACTTGTTTTTTTTTTAATCATATGTACAGACAGACAGAAGCAAGGAAATACACAAGTATTTTATGTATCTTCATCTACAACAAAAATGGTTTTATTTTCTGATTAAAAAAACTCAAACAGGTCTGCAGAGCATACTGTATTGGCAATAGTAATTTACTAGAAAGTGCATCCAGCAGTACATTCTGTTTTGGAAATTTGTTTTCACTGCCATTAGATGTCACCAAGTCTTTGCAAATAACCAAATTCTGAGCGTAACTTCATCCCTTTGCCCATGTATTCAAAAAGAAATAGAGGTRGTATAATTATTTTGTCAGAAAACATTTTGAATATCCCAAACTTTGTAAAGGTTCCACAGGGATTCACATTTATAGGCTTGCCATGCTTCTTTAATGAGCTGAACCAAAACATGGAAGCCTCTTAACTGCAAATGCTTTGGCTCAGCTAGGGGTGCATCTGAGGCAGCCAGGTTAGGGCTCTTGAAAGCCTGAGGCCAGAGCTCACAGGCCGCTGGTCTGGCTGCTGTTACTGCCACCTCARAAGCCTTCTTACCTTTCAGGGTTTCTTCAAGCAGCATCTGATATAAAATCTCTTCATAGACATTCTCTACTTGGATCACACTAGTGTAATCAGCAAAAATGAACTGCTCGTATTTCTGCAGCTCCTGTGCAGGCACACAAGGAACAAAGAAATAAAYAAAAATAAATGGAGCTAAGGCATATTGAGTGTCTTACTTCAACAGGGAACCTCGGAGATGCCAACTAGCAGCTCTTGTAATGCTCCTTGCTGTCCCTTGAGGTGAACTGCTTGAACTAATTAAATTAACCATATATGCTCACAATTTATTATGCACTTATCAACATTATTTTTGCACTAGTTACCTGTTGCATTTTTAGCAGACCATGGCCATCTGCACCATAATAAATAATTCTAATGTAAATAGCTGGTGAGGAAGTGCCTCAGTCATTGYCTGTCCTGGGAGGCAAACGCATGGTGAGCATGGGAGATAACTGGAGTTTTGTTTTTTTAATAGGCGTGTAACATTTTAACTTACTGAYTTATATGTAAGAGTCTATGTCTAGACAATTACTGAGTCATTATCCCTARGAGCTGCTTGATAGTCTATAAAAATAAGTGGAGTGACCCCTGCATAKTTCTAATAGAGGAGCTTTCACACTATCTTTGTTTTCTAGTAGCTTGAAGGTGCATCTATCCTCAAACGCTCATGAGTGTAACTTGACAAAATACTCATTTCATAAAATGTTGTTTAAAACCTGAAACAAGCAGGAGAGGATCAGCTCGAGCAGCACTGCATGGGTGACACAGCTCGTGGCCACCACTGAACATCAGCCAACCAAAGGGCAGGGAGGCCAGGACGGTTTAGGGCAGCAACCTTTCAGTAAGTACAATGAAAGTGTGAGAGGTTACCACACACTGCCTGCCAAAGGGGCTCCCTGTGAAGCCCATGGGTGTCCAAATGAAAGACTATTTATTTTGCGTATTCACAGTGGATCCGCTGGGCTCAACTCAGAGGAAAGCTCTCTCCTCGAGCCACCAAATGGGATCCCAGACAGCTGGGATTTCAGCAGAGCAGCAGCGCTAAGGACAAGCTCGTAACCTGGAGACTGTCAGATTTATGGAAAAGTCTGGTTTTGAGGGGACTCCAGATCTCTAAGGAAGAAATAAAACCAGGAGAGAGCACAGGCCTACAACGATCGTTGAGAAGGAAAGTTGCAAATACCACTTCCATGCTTTCTGAATCTCCACTGGACTCTCAATCCCTCATCCTGCCACACCAATGCACAAAATGGCAAATCTAAGCATTGCCTGGCAGARCAGGCAGCCAATGTATATGGCTCCTTGAGGGAAAACAGCTTTAGATGGTTTAGGATTTATTACCAAGGTGTTAAGTCCTTCCTGTCTTTTATTATTCTCTAACCACAGAGCAATAAAGTGACCTACCGGTTTGCATGTTGAAGCAAGTGCCTTCTGCATTGTTGGCAAAGTGATCTGTATCAATGCTTCTTGAAATATCTTCTTCCGGATAGTGCTGCTGTCATAATCATATTGCTGCCAAAAACAGACAGAAAGAGAAATGAAGCCAAATGTGTTTGGTGCTATCAGTCATTAACAGAAGAACCTGGTTCTTGCTGACCTGTAACTGGTGATAGGCAAATTCCATAAAGTAGCTCATCACAGGAGCACTCTGGGTTCAAATTATCCTGCAGATTAATTCAACTTTTGCAAAAATGCTGAGAGATTAGGTTTTRTGTGATGCCTTTTCTGAGGCTAGATGAAATACTAGGGACAGGCTAATTCTAAAACTACTGTAAAATGATTTGCCCAGATCATCTCCATTTGATTTAAAACTGCAGTTAGTAAGACTGTCCATGTATACACTTTCACAGCTGTCTGCCCAGAACTAGGTTTTACCCTCCAAATTAAGTTGATTACTTACTATGTCTAAAGTCACTCTCACTGGAACTTCAGGTCATTTACTTTAAATAAAAGATCCTTTTTTCCCCCACAACTTTTTCACTTAACATGGTCATCTATGCATCTGCTAAGCGTTACCAAATCAGTATCTTCCACTACATGGTAAGCCATTTCTTCTCTCAAATACTGAAATAAATTTACATAAAAGATATTTTTGGTTTTCAAAGGGCAAGTTTTTCTGAACAAATGCAGCAATAATATTTACCTTCAGTACTCTCAGCTTGACTTTTTCAATGGTTGTTGCAATTTTTGCTGAGTCGGCTTGGCAACTTGGAGAGAACAACTGCTCAAAAGTATAAACTGCGTTTTCCATCAGCTAAGAATAGTAATTAAAAATTGTTAAAGATCAAGGCATATGAAACATAGTTTTCCAGTAACAGAAAACTTCCATATATGTAGAGAAACATGASAAATGCAACTGTTAATTTGATTTTTTTAGAAGGTGAATAGGAGAGAGAATAATCTGCCTAAAACTGATAATGTTTTCCAGTACTTAAAATGATTGTGAAAGGGGAATAAAAGCCTTGTTTATTTTAGATTTCAACACTTTATTTTAGAACTGGAAAGCAAAAAGAAGAACATGTTACGCTCGTGGAAGAAAACAAGAAAATGAAATGACCTCACTTTCGTTTTTTTTTATATCCAAATTATCCAATATAGTTTCAACTTATCTTGTCCCAAAAGTGTGGTTTTGTTGGTGCAATTCAAACTACTTTTCTGAGTGAAATAATATATACTAGCAAGAGTTTTTTGAAGGCTCAAMTCACAGAATGAAATAATTTCTCATCAAATGATTATGTTGGTATTTGCCCTACTTTCAGGCTACCCACTGATTCATTATTATAATTGAAAATTAAATCCATGCTCTGAAAACATACTTCAGAAAAACAGTTCTGCAAGTGGTAATTATATTTATGTAATGTGAGTTTTCATCTTTTAGCTATTTAGATTTGTCATTCCAATTTGAACATATTCTTATCGGAGAAGTATAGGGATGTCCACATGGAAGGCGTTGATCCTGCTGTGTCTTCCTTTGCACTGCTCAGGAAGACACAGGTCAATCTGCACAGACAGCCRCTTGCCATTCAGAGATCTTTTTGTGGTTTGTTAGTGAGTATGTACCTGCTTATGAGTAAGACACACTTTCATCTCCTCCATGGTGAGTAATATTTTGTTTTTATATAACCCACGACAAATTTTGGGAAGAGCGATWTTTGTAACTTTGAAGCTAGCATGAGACTAGATTATAGAAACTGTTTGTACACGGAAACAGAAAACAGGGAGCTGTGTACAATCTGTGCATTCATGAGAAGACCACACAGTTAAGGCTTATGCACTGCAAGACCTTGGTCACAAAAAAAAAGGACAAGAACAATTTCAGCATCACATCCGAGGCTAATTTAAGATGAAGTRCTCACTTTTTATCTGATATTTTATTTGGACCAAATGGAAATTGGCACACCTCTAGCAAAGTCTTTGGAGCTGTCTTATTTATGCCAGCTGAGCACATAGCAGCTTATTTATGCCAGCTGAGAACATTGCAGAACGTTAGCCACTAGGGGATGCCAACCTTTCCAGTCCTTACCTATACMTTCAGGGAAGGAAGCCTATTCCAACCACCTGGTTCTTAGCAAGAGAGCTAGGATAAAGTCAAGGCTTTCTTTTAAACTAAGACAATATGACCTTAGACCCTCCTGACCCTACTTGTTAACAAAACAGGTGCTACATCCACTGACACAAAGTGGAACCACTTACTATTCTCATGAGATGAAATATTAGCCCTCTGAAGACAAAGGGGCAGTAAGAGCTTTGGCAGAATAGTATGTACTCTCATTTAAGCTATTTGACTCAYGGTCCCTTTAGAAAAAGACTTGGCTTGTCAGGAATGTATTTTCTGCACCCTTCTTTGTTTTCACTCATGGTCTTCCTTTAAAGACATTTTTTATTTGAGCAGCACTTCAGAATGGTCTCTTGAAAGATAAGTCATGAAAAGAGATTTTTATTTCTAAATCATTCTTGTTATTAGAAGAGCTGCTTGTAGAAATGCCTTAACTGAGCACTGTGCTAGAGACTTTATGTCTATGGTCATGATTCTGACTCCACAGAACTGGACCAGGCCCAATTTGTGAGATAACATGATGAACTGGTTAGTTTCTCAACTACTGAACAGAACCACAGAATTCAACACAGAGCTACAAGGCCTTACATGTCCTGCACTGTGGCAATTGAAAGCAGCTGACTGGTCAGCTCTTAGTAGATTTCTGGCCAGATATCCAGACAATATAAAAGCGAAACAAAATTAAAGTCTATGCAAGCACGCGCTGGAGGGGAAAAGAGGCGACGTGGTTCCTTTTCATCCCAGGGATGCAGTCACTTCAGCCGTTCAGATGAAAACTGAATTTGGCTAAAGCTGCTAAAAGCAGGTATATCCTGAGATGTCATCAGCAGTCAAGTAATTCCCTATTTCTACTAGTACTAACTGCCTYACTTTATATTAATGAGAGACCAAATTACCAAAGGAGGAAATATTACTTTTTTGTAAAAATAAATTCAATATTTTCCTGAAAAATTAACTCTTGAGAATGCAGTCAGGCAGATATTGAAAGATACATTCAACCTCATAAATATAAATATGAAACTGAGCTTCTAAATATGATTTTATTAGGCTTCGTATCTGTACTTGGGAGATGTATTCCAGCTTCTTCCATAGCTTTTTATCAAGATTGCTTTGAAGTGAGTTGAAAGGACAAACCTAACTTGTTCCAAGTGGGATTTTTCCAGAAGGAAAAACTGGATGTTACAGTACCTCTTGCATGAAGTTCTGTGTCCTCTGAACCACGAAATCAATGTGATAGACCTTGAAGCGGCTCTTGAGGTCTTGAAGCAGTTCCTGGAGGAGGTTCACTTTCAGGTAACAGGGCTCCATTTTCACAGAGTTGAATGGTAGCTTCATAAGCTGGTCCACATTCTGCATTTCAACAGGGAAGAACAGGTTTAGAGAGTAAGCAACCTGGGTTGAATTTTTAATATACAGGGTAACAGTGGCCCTAAACAAATTCTGAGATCTACACTCCACATGCACGAATACCACATGACTTTTTAGATGACAAAACTAAGCACTAATTCACTACAACACAAGAAAGCAAATATTGCTGTGAGCTAGGTTCTAAGTAGAAAGTCCCATGGCAATGTGAAACAGTCCAGAATCATGTCTTACCTCCTTCAGCTTTGTGGTATCACTTGTCTTCTGGAAGTTCTGGATGATTTCATTAACTTCTTTATCAAAGAGTGAGCGGACTTCGGTGAATCCCGAACTCACTGGGCCCATGAGCTCCTCCAGGATGGAAGTAAGAAACGGCTGGATATTTTCTGTGCAGCACTTCTGGGCAGGCTCAGAAACAGTGGCTGGACAGTGTCAGAMAACACAATGGATGCATCTTAGGCCATGAATAGATACAGTGAAAAATGTCATACCGATCCATTCTAGAATGGAGCCACTGACATATTATTTTTGACTATTGTCATCCTCAAAGATGAAAGGCCAGTTTATGGTTTTAAGAGGGGCAGTGAAACACCTTCTCCCAGGCCTCAACTAACCGCATTTTAGCACATTAGCTGCCCTGTGACAGAATAAGAAAGGGCAGCTGCAAATATTGATAAAAATATTGAGAGGTTTGTACAGAGCATAGATGTTGCAGCTTTTAATACGCTGTATAAGGAGTTACTTGAACTTAGTACTTTGCAATTCAGTGAAAGCATCCGACTGATGTGGGAATATCTATGCAACCTCCTCAGGGTTAGCAAAACAGCTCTTGAATTCTCAGYTGTTCACTGCCAGCTTTTGCTTGCTAGCTTAGGCAGGATCARCAAATGTTTTGTCTATTTTTTACAGTCAGTTTTATATTAGCAAAATTATAATTTTTCATTCCACATTAATTTTAAGCCACCTAAGCCTGGTTTAAGTATCCTCTAGTAGTCTGAGAACCTGTCACTTAATCATAACCTGTTTTTGTAGAGCATTACTAGACATCAGATCTTCCTTATGAAACCTGTATCCTCATTATAAAGGGCCRCTCAAGTGAAAATGAAAACAGAATTAGCAACTCCAAGCAGAATACTCAACACCTGGCAGGGTTAGCTCCAATTTAAGACAACTTTGCATTTCCACAGATAGAGTTTCCAGAGGTATCAATTCCCACCAAAGGCTTTGAAGAAGAACCTCAAGCCTTCAGGGTTTTCTGAAAATCAGTATTTCCATTTGGATTTTCAAAACACAAGGCATGTTAACACAATAATATCTGGCAATTTGAGCAGCACGACAAGAAACATTACAGAATTGCTCGAAAATGCAGATGTTCCCTCACTAACCTTTGATTTTTCCAGCCAAGAAGTTCTTTGAGTTCAGAATCTGATCCATATCTGAGCGAATGGTTCCTTCAAGAGTTTTTGCAAAATCTCTGCATTCTTCTTTCAAGGTACTGAGTCCTTCAGAAACTTGCTGCTGGACTAAGCTGTATGTTTCTTCCACAATCTAAAACCATATTAAATTAATAAGCATCAATCAGAAGCAGCACACACAAACAGCTGCTATGAGAAASAGCAGGGCTGCAAATCTAAGTACTTACACCAAACCAGGCCCGCTTCCTATCATTCCTCTTTCCTTTCATTTTAGGCAGGATCATCGTTTGAAGGTTAGGTAGAAGTTCCTCCATCACAAGGTTGCTCAAGATCTACATGGTCAAAAGATTAAAATGGTACATTCACTCACTGTCCTTCATCTGAAAACTGGGTGCTTGCACTACACAACCAAGTGCAAATACAGGTAATCTCAAATACAGAACTGCCTAGCTATCCCAGGAGAACTGTATTTAAAATATTAGCTATATCTGGGGGAAGCTGAGGGAATCGAGTTTGTTCAGCCTTTAGAAGAACTGCTGGTCCACCAGTTAGAGATACTGCAGATAACCCACATAGAGCTTTTCATCTGTCCTAGAACACTGCTGGGAACAGCTGCCCACAGCTTCTGGAAAGTCTTGAACTGCAGTGGACATCCTGTAAATCCCAGAAAGACACAGTAACCCTACAAAAAAAACCCTCACAAAATACATCTTGAGTTTCTGTACGCTTCTCATTTCATCTCGGGGGGAAGGATAAGTAGTTTACTCTATGGTTTCTATGAAGCAGAGCAAGCCCTTCTTCCCTTTTACTAGGGCCTTGAACAAGGTTTTTCCAAGCAAATGTTTATTTGAACCCATTTCTTTTCCTTGCTTCAACAAGGTGCCTACAACAGTTCTCATTGAAGGCTCACAGCCCCAGGACCCCATGGCTCGGGTGCAGACTGCAAAAGCACCAAGCAGCTTCCCATTTCCATCGTACTCAGGCTGCCAGCGCTTGCTCGTGTTCAGCCTCCCACAGCGGGGTTGCCACCAAGCTCAGTGGGGTCACCTCCCTGCTGCTCCTCCTGTTGCTGCACTTGCCCAAGTGCYGCCTCACTGCGAGCGGCCAGCGAGGCACCAGCGCGGAGCACAAGGGAAACCCTAGGAATTTGGGCAGCAAAGGCCCATGAGGGCTCTGACAGGGTGTCACGTAATATAAAGCAGAGCATCTCCTGCACCTACGGCAGCCCCTGCAGACACAGACTATGCAATATCCTACTTAATAAGCATTTACTAAACTTAAGGAYTCACTTTATGCTATAGCACCATGCAGATTCAGCTATGCTGACTCAAATACCTGTCAAAAACCAATGGCCTCTGAAAGTAATGAGTCTCACAGCTCTGAAACTAATGAGTCACTTAAAAAAAATCCCATGAATAACCTATAATAAAATCCCTTGAATAACTCCTATAACTGGAGTGCCACAAAACAAAATGTAAAAGTGGCAACTGCTTGAACAGATGCTGAGGTCTCTGAGCTGTCAAGCAACCTTTTTAACACATACTGGATTGAATTTAAATTTCTCTACTGACAGGTGTGCTTGAAGGGCTTGCTTTTTAATGCCTTGTCTGGTTATCTTTATTTACTCATATATTATTCTACAATAATGCAGCGCTGATCACTGAGGTTACATCAGTGTAAACCTTAAGTACTGTAACACACTCCGGGTTATAGACATACTCATAACCAGTGGTGTCAAAAATTTCAAGCCACCCCTCCATGAGGTGTCTTCCTTCCTTCTGCTTGCAGCCCTCTCCTTCAGCACTTACCTACTGTCAGAAATACCACTTACAACTCCAGTTTTATTTCATTAATAACGAAACATGTAAAAAAGAATGACACCCCCCCTTCAAGAAAAAAAAAACCCACAGGGAAAGGAACTTTTATGAAACAAAATACTTTTGAGTAGGTCTTCAGATGAGTACGTCTTCAGTTACTATTTGCTTTAGTCTATATCCGTGCTGCGGTGCTTAGGCAGCGCAGCGTGAGCTAATGACCACTTTAGCAAATCCTGGTGAGACTCCGTGCCACCACAAAGACGTGTCAGTGACTCTAGTTATTGGCACTGCACAGAACTTTTACGGCAACAAACTTGGAGACTGGTCGTTCCAAGCCATTCACTCAGCTTGGATATTTGCCTAAAACAATTATTATGCTTGGTCGAAGCACGCATGAGAACACACTACACTTACAGAATGAATTATTACTAAAAAGATAATAGCATTAACTGTCTGCATGTCTTTTGATTATAGTCCTCTTGAGGTATAGGGGTTATGAGTAAGCAGTTGGCAAGCAATGGGAGAAATAAAATGCAAGTGAAACTAGCAGTATTTAGTTCCATGACTTGAGGGAAGAATGAGAAGAAAAAACCCGTGCAGATGTGTCAAGGAATTATGTCCTAGTTAATCCCTTCAAAGCAATGATTGAACTCCTTATATTAAGGTATTAATTATTAGAGGTTGACATGAAACCTTGATCTCTGACATGAAGGCTCAGGGGAAGATATTCTCTAGAGATTCTCCTTCAATTTCCACCTTTTTTTGAGGCTTGTCAAGGTAGGCTTTTCCTAGAAGGATAATCTGGTTTGCTAAAACAAAATGCTGACTTGTGAACTCCCCATCAGGCTTTTTCCAATTTTCCAAAGGAATGCCAGATTTCATCATGAAAACACCCAGCAGCTGGTACTGAAGTAAATATTTGCTGCTGAGCACTCTGTGCTTTGGAAAAAATGCACAAATCAGCGCCTAAGTAATAACTCAGTTGCACTAAAATGCATTTGGAGTAATGCCCTAGAGATCAACAGATACTTTGGCTAACATCCATGCTCCAAGCTGATTCATTCAGGTGCTCAAAGTTTATATGTTTAGCCTCCCACTTTTTAAATATTGAAGACTGTAAGTTTAGCCTCCCAYTTTTTAAATATTGAATAGACAAACTTTTGGTGCCCTAGCGTGTTTGTTACCACGCAACACTATTTCAGGAGTCTGGAACAAGAACCAGAACAATGAGTTTATGCACTCAGGACTAAAAGCTTGATTCGCAAGAAATAAAGACATTCTTATACTTAGCTGTTGCTCTGGCCTTACTAGACCCTGATCTGCTACAACAGCATCTGGAGGTGAGTTGCAAAAGCAACTGCAAACTGTTTTATTTAGTAACAAAGACAGTASCAATCAATGAAAAAAAAATCTCTCTTATCTGCAGAACAGCAATTGAAGAAAGGTAGAAAAACAGAGTGCAGCCCAACTCATCAAACAGTGTGTATTTATTTGCTGCATGCAGACAGTGTCCGAGCTTGATGTTTATTACTTTTGGTTTCACTGACTTAGCAAAACCATAAAAAGCAGCAAATGTGACAAGTCTTTAGCTTTAGGCCCCGCATCTTTCTATTTACCACCGAATTCTGCAGCATCTACTATAATTAAGGCAGATATGTGAACTTCCTGCGGAAACGGGGCCCTCCCTACAAGCCTGCACGAGCTGCCTGACACCTTTGCTATGCAGCACTTTCTTTCACTTTGTAGTAAAAATTCACAGCATGGTTAATTTTTAAAAAAGCTACTGCTTATATCCTGAAAGGTTATCAGAAAGATGCATCTTTGACAATTGCATGTATTGYATTTTCTTAAAAAACACACTATTATTTCTCTCCAAGAGACCCTTCTACTTTTACTGTCCTCAAAGGCTCTGTAACCAAAGCCAAAAAAAAAAAAAAAAAAAGGTTTTCCTTTACCTGTTTTTCATTGCCAGTGATCATTTCCCACATCCCATAGTGGCCTTTCTCTTGACGGAAGAACTGAATGGCTTCTAAAAACGCCTCCACTTCATAGGTGGTCTGCTTGAGAAAATCTAAGGGAAACAAAAAAGCAACACAGACAATTCACCAGTCAACAACCTTCAAAAAATTAAGCAGCTTTTCTCCATCCAATTTTCTATTCTATGTGCTTCCAGCAGAGCCTCATGATCCCACCCATAGATGCCGTCCCTGTTTTGCAGATATTTGGTGGTCCGGGGACATTAAAATATCATCAAAATGTTTGCACACGTAGGCTGTTCAGAAGAAAACCAGCGTCCGATACAGGCTTTAATGCAACAACCTGCAACTCGACCCGGGAAACAGTTGAATGTCCTAAAGCTTTTTGCAAGCAGAAAAGCCCCAGATCCGCACTATTTTGACCACGAGAGGGCCAGGCGGCGCTGCCCTTGGCAGGGCCAGGCCTGGCTGGCCACAGGCGACGCTCRCTCCGAGGTGACTCACATGTTTTCCTCGCTCGCAGCTGGGCTCCCTCCTGGCGCGGCCAGGACGGGAGGTGAAGCCCGTGGGGCTGCTCTTGGCTGCCGCCCCATGGTGTTGTGCCAGTTCTCCCCGTGAGCAACAGCCAGTTTTAATCCCAAGCCCAGGCAGCGTTTTCCCTCTCCTTGGAGCATCCCTGAACTCACGGAGAAGTGGGAGGACAAGGCGGAGAAAACGAGCGCAATTCCTTTCAATCCACCCAGATCTCATGTTCTCCCCCATGCAGAACAGAAAACCACAATTATTGCCATCTTCTTATCGAAGAGCCAGAGGTAAAAAGGAGGCTCTGCTCTTCAAGGCCTACCGCATCTTCAAGACCTACCGCAAACTGCTTAGCTTAGAGAAATTTATTCCCCCTTTCCAGAGGAGGAAAGGACTGCACTGGGTACCAGGCACTGACTGTGCCTTGGATGGTGCAGAAGTCTCCAAGGAGGCAGGTGACTTTGGACAAGAGAACTGAAGCTGGGAGAAGGTCATTTGCATCCTCCAGGACATCAGCAAGGTCAAACATGGTCACAGTAAATGGGATGCACCAGCATCCGGTGGGACACACAGCGCACACCAGGTCTGCTCCTCCAACATGTCTCTGCAATATGCAGACCCTACACTTTCGGGATGGTTTTTAAGTGACCGGCACAAGTTGGACACAGTGTGACCCTGCATTTCTCCGAGGGGCCAGGGGGAGGAGGGAGGCCAGGGCTGGCGGCAGCGCTCCGACGCGTGCGGCTCTGCGGCTACGYGCCTGTCGGCGGGTTCGGCACTGGGAGCATCCGTCCCCACAGCAGCAACCCGCACTCCTAGGGAATAACGTCCCCTTCGCCCGGTGASAGCAAAACAAAACCATGTCTGTCCTCCTGGAGCTTCAGAGTAAGAATTCCCACACAGAGATGTCTTCCCACACCCGTATTCTAATAAGAAACATCGATAAGCATGTTCCCTCCCAATCTGTTCCCTCTACAAGCCTTTCACTAATGCTTCTTTCTGAAAGAGATGTGGAAACACCACCACTCCTCAGGCAGGTRCCAGAACTTGCACGTCTCGTGCAGGCAGAGCTGACTGTGCTCGATCCCGCAGGAAGGAGCATCCCTGTGCCACATGAGCAGCTTCGGTCCCTCTGCAGACGCTGCCATGGGGGATTCTCTGCTACGGCGAGTCCAGGCTAGCTGTGCATGGGCTGCTCTCACGCCAGACAAAACACCCCCAAGCTCCTATTTACAGGGGTAGTGCCACAGATCTCCCCACCTGTAGCTGGAGCAGKGGCTTTGCAACACGCCTGGAGAGCAGCGTGTTTGGGTACTTCAGCTCACACAATCCATCTTTACAGCTCCTGCAGACCATCTGCTCGGCATCTCAAGGCCAGTCAATGCTCCAACCTGCTTGGAGGCTGCTCGTCCTGCCCTCAGCAGAAGGAAGATGTCTCTAGCGCCACACATCCCAACCAGCTCTGTTAGCTGGAGCCAGGGTGCATCTCGGTATCCATCCAGCAAGCTGCAACAATGTGCATAGCTGTTTAAAAGACATGACAGACTGTTTCTCGCTTACCAACCACAAAGGCAACAACCAAACTCTTGTCAGCACAACAGAGTCCACTCCTCGTCCCCAGCCTGCTGGAGCTCTCAGGCAGCTGCCTCCAAATATCCGTGTTTGGGATGATCAGTGAAACTTAGACAGTGGAAGAGCATTTCCTCCGCTCCCGGCGGGACCTGCCAGATGCCATAACCAGGTGCCCAGAGGTTTCCACCTGCCCCGATTTACGAGGTGCCTCTGTGGTTCCTGGCGGCATCTCCAYGGCCTCTGCAAACTGGGACTCGCCGAGTTCTGGACTTGGCTGCAGCACCGCAGCGTTGAGCTGCTGGGGCAGCCAAAGATCTGCGGCCAGGGTGCTTTATGAGGTGTCAAAGCTGAACGCGCCGTTCTTTAAAACAAAGAGAGCACCCCCACTACCACGCAGTAAACGTTCTGCTCCCTTACGGACTTCTCCTGCAGTAAATCTTTAACTGTTATTATTAGTAATATTTAAAGGATACTTCAACAGCAGACTAAGTGCTTTACCAATACAGCTAAATCACTGAAAATAACCTGATTTTTTTTGGCTGACATTTCACAAAAAGTTGAGCTTGAGAAGAAGCTGATGAATCAGGCTAAAAGCAAAATCCACAAGCATGAGCTCGCAGAGTGCAGTTTTTGATTAAATGAATGCTGACATAACCAACTGACCAACAAAACTCAGAAGTAATCCGCCCAGACTTCATCTCCATCTAGCAGTGCTCATCTCTACATGTGCGTTTCTGAGCTAGAGAGTTGCATGTGATTCGGTTCAAGATTCTGCATTGGATGAATCTTGCTATGGCCGATACACACACTGTCCCTGAACTCTGCCTGCAAGCAACTACAACTGATARCCAGGCAGTCTGGCTCACAACCACGGTGGTGTTTGTAAGGGATGATCAAGTAAAGGTGCATAGGTGGCAAGGCAGCTTGCCTAGCTCTTGTCCACCATGCTCAAAAAAATCTCCATTTGTGGAGCTATCTGTTAATGGCCTAGCCTCTTGTGATACTATAAACAGAGAGCAGGATGTGGGTGAAGCTGAAGAATATTTGGGATTTTCACTGTTTTGTCTTTGGTTTTAATAGCCTCCAAAAGATGGTGCTTACAACACTTACTATTTCCACTGCATATCATGTTCAACTAAACAGTTTTCATGCTTGCAAATGCAAATTAAATTTTCCCAGGTGTCTCTTTTACTGTGAGAGTGACAGAGCCCTGGAACAGGCTGCCCAGGGAGGTTGTGAAGTCTCCTTCCTTGGAGATCTTCCAAGCCCACCTGGATGCCACCCTGTGCCCCAGGCTCTGGGTGTCCCTGCTTGAGCAGAGGGGTTGGACTAGATGTTCTCTAGAGGTCCCTTCCAACCTCAACCATTCTGTGATTCTTCCAAGTCATTCCCTTCTCTCCTGGCATTTGTGTCTTTCTAATGTATTTGGATTACTGAGTTCCCTCTGGTTGCCATTAAACATGCACTACTTAGCTCTTTGAAAGCAAGAGTTGGTTCATAGAAAGTCAAGCACACACATAAAGCAGAGGGAAGCTGCAGAAAGGAAAGGTTATTCTTTTCTTTTCAAGAGTGAGGTATCTGCTGGAGCCTTGCTGAACTCATCCATAGGTCATTTCCATCTYTCATATGGATATTTCTAAGCAAGCACAATGCTACCTGTCAAAGACAGTATAAATAAATGAAATTTCCCTGCCTCAGAGTGATCTTTTTAGCACAGGTTTCCCAGAATAGCAATTTGGGGGAGGTATTTCTGGTACCAGTCGCCTAGGCTGTGAGTAGGGCCTGCAAAAAAAGTTTTGTCTTTTGCTCATGCAGTTTCCGTGTGCTGATGAGCAATTTTCTCCGGGGAGATGCATGAGTAATATCAGCACGTGGAGGAGGCCGGCGGGAGGCTAAGAGAACGGGTGGCAGAGGGCCCATTGCCACCAGCCCAAGGTGTGGGCCGGGCCTGCCAGGCACCACGTTACCACACGGGGAAAAGCAGCCACCTCGGCTCCCAACACGCTTTACAGCCAGCCCGGTACGAAGGCAATGGTCCTCAACTCCAAAACGTCAGCTTCTTGCTAACTTCTAGCTCCAAAAAGTAAGGAGAGCCTTCCAGACCAAGAGAAGAGCAGGCCATAAAATCAAAGCAAAACCTGGGGAGATGAGAATAGCTTGGGAACTAGACCCCACAGAACGAGAGCTTGCAAAGGGCTTGTATCACAGCTACAGCCCCTCTAGAAATACTTACCTTAAATAGCAGGTGCTGTAGCTGTGATACACATGGCTTAGTTCTATAAAGCAAGTCCTGTCATATTATTGYCCCGTCATATTATTGACCTGTATCATCATGAAGCAAAGTAAAATGCTTTGAGTGCGAGAAGCATCAATATCCAGCTCCGATGRTTTCCTAAGAGCACTGTACTATCATATTATTCACAGATCATGTGGTATAAAACTGCTAACCACTAACAGAAACTAGATGAGGTCACTTCCAAACAGGATACAGCCCTGCAGTAATGCACTGTATTTATAGCAAATAAAGTTTTGCAGTGCAAGTTCCTTCAGAGAACAAGCCAATACTCATTTGATTTAGGTATTTGTTTTGCAGTATTTAATGCCAGTATTAAAGCTGTTTACAGCAATAAGAGGCAGATAACAATTTACTTCCCTCTGCTGGAAATAGCAGCTTCATGTCTTGGAGTCTAAAACAGAAGAGCACTATACACACATACAAAAGGATTCACAGCATATTTCATTTCCAAGAACTTCAAGGTGCCTTATTAACCATCTGCCCTACTCCAGTTTGAGATGAGTTTTTTTTCTGTCCCAGCGTTGGAAGCTATAGCCTAACAACAGCCTTAAACATGTACAAGCAAGGATCTTCACATCTACCAAAATAGGGGCAGGTGGCAGGTAGCATCTGGTAGTTCTCCAGCTCACACCACGCTCCATAACACACTGATGTGAAAATGAACAGCAGGCCAGGGTGCAGAGGTGATGAGAGGTAGGAAGAATA